AGGTCCACCAGTGGGGCCAGGACACTAGAAGCCCTCCCACTGTTTCCCCTCCCAAGCACCAAGAATACAGAGCATCACTGCCCCAGACATAAGAACATAAGAGAAGCCAATGTTGGATCAGGCCAAAGGCCCATCCAGTCCAACACTCTGTGTCACACAGTGGCCAAAAATACCAGGTGCCCTCAGGAGGTCCACCAGTGGGGCCAGGACACTAGAAGCCCTCCCACTGTTGACCCCCCCCCCCGCCAAGCACCAAGAATAAAGAGCATAATTTGCTTCAGACTGAGAGTCCCTATCTATACCTTGTGGCTAATAGCCACTGATGGAACTCTGCTGCATATGCTTATCTAATTCCCTCTTGAAGCCATCCATGCTTGTAGCTGCTACCACCTCCTGTGGCAGTGAATTCCACGTGTTAATCACTCTTTGGGAGAAGAAGAACTTCCTTTTATTCGTTCTAACCCGACTGCTCTGCAATTTCATTGAGTGCCCACGAGTTCATGTTCTTATGTTCCCTTGGGGCATCATGGCATCATGAAATTAGCTAGTCCAGGGGTCATTTCATAGAAAAAGAGGTGCAGGAGCTCATTAGCATAACTTATTTGCATGGGCCACACCCCCTGACATCACCGGAAGTGTGTCAGAAGGCAACACCCACCGCTCAGGCTCCACTGAACTGGTTTGGATTGCTAGCTATTGGGGAGGGGGGAACGTGCAGATCTGTCCTCGCAGAGGAGGGAGAGCTTGTACCTGAAAAAAACTTGGTCTTAAAGGTGCCACAGGACTGTTTTGGACCAGGGAGGTGGGGGGAGCTCTGCAGCTTACCTGGCTGCTTCTTGCTCTGACTGAGGGCTGCTGGGAGCAGGCGGTGGGACTTGTTGCATGTGCCTGCCCCCTGGGCTCTTTACTGCTGGAGCTCTGCTCCTGTGTGCTCCAGCAGGAAATGACTCCTGAGTCACTAATGGAGCCAAGCAGGATTTTTTTGGGTTTCCTCTGGTTGGCTGTTGGGGGACCTTTTTTTCACTTGCTTTGTGATGGCTCAATGAGGGTTGATCATCAACTTGAGGCCTGGTCTTCAACTTTGTGGGCCATAACTAGTCTCGGCAGGGATTGGGCAAAGTGAACACGATAGGTAGGGATGATCAGCAGGCACCCGAAGACATCCAAAAAGGTAGAGGGATTTCCAGAGGAGCCCATAACTGTCTGTGCAGCAGGTAAACCTGAACTCTGACATGCTGAGCAATATCTTTCCAATAAGGATGGGCACGAACCCCCCCCCCCCAAACGAACCCAGGTTCAAGCACGAACTAGGCCGGTTCATGAACCAGGGATTTGGGAGAATGTGTCTCCCATGTTTTTAATGGAGGTTCATGACTTTCGTGGGAGACACGTTCTTGGGCTTTGAAGGCATTTAAATGCCTTCAGATTTTACTTCCAGGTCTGGTGGGCCACCCAGAAGTGAGTTCTAAAGGCATTTATATGCCATCACGGTCCACCACTGGCCCATGGCCCCACCTGTGTCAGCTCCAAAGGCATTTAAATGCCTCCAGAACTTACTTCCAGGTCAGGCTACCTTTGGGTCCAGTTGGCTTGAGTGAGCTCTGAAGACCTTGATAGGCCTTTGGAGGTGAGTCAGGAGCCCCAACTCAAGTGAGTTCCCAGAGTGGGCTCTGAAGGCTTTTATAGCCCCACTTCCAGGTGAGGCCTGCCCACACAAAAGCCTGCCCATATAAGGGCATATAAAGCCTCTAAAAGCCTTCAGAGCCCACTCTCGCTCACTCGGGTCAGGGTGCCCAACTCGACTGAGCTCCTAGAGTGAGCCCACTCTCAGAGCCCCGACCCAGAGGTGGACTCTGAAGGCATTTAAATATCTTCAGAGCTCACGTCCAGTGGGGTGGCCTGACCCGAAGTGAACTCCAATGGCATTTAAATACCTTCGGAGCTCACTCGGGTGGGGCCACGGGCCATTGAAGGGCTCCAATGGCATTTAAAAGCCTTTGGGGGTTCACTTCCAGCTGGGGCTGTTCTACGAGTTCACAAACCCAATGAGCCATGAGCCACTTTGGGAAACAGAAAAGTTTGTGTAGGTCCGTGGTTCATTTGATCAAACGAATCACAAACCCCAACAAATCCACCATTTCCCCAGTTCGTGCCCATCCCTACTTTCCGAACCTGGTAGTGGTTGTCTGGTCCATCGGGGATGGGGATGGGTGCCTCTTGGCACATTGTGTGCCGGTGATGATAAACAAAGTCATCAGAAGACAGAGTTCTTTTTATAGTCAGATTTGTTGGAGATTTTAGTACAAGCAACAAGAATTGTGTACTCACTTAACGTGGCAAAGTATAATCTTATCTAACTAGAAGCTAATTTTGTAAGCATTGTGTATGACCACCATCTCATGGGTTTTTAGTTTTTCTTTACTTTCACCTGTAGTTTGTAGTTACCTTTCCTTGTTTCTTTGTAGTTTATAGAAAATGCAATTAAAAAATCCTCTACGGGGGAACAAAAAAAAAGATGAAGAAGATGCTAGCTATGTTTGGAGTCAGGCTGGGTCTGCCAGCCACAGGCTGGCTGTGTAGTACTGCCCACCTATTTTAATATGTTGGCATATTTAAATATGGTGCAGATCAGTTTAAGTAATTAAATAAACCAGTTAAACCCAAGCTGTTGTCATGTGTCTTCACTGAAGGGGAGCCTGGGGCAAATGCCAACAAGAGTTGTTCACCGTGTTCCAAACAGGTCTATTCAAGAATCAAAGGACAATCTGGTGTGCTCTTGTAAGCAAGTCGTTCGATCATAAATCTAAATGTCAATCACAGGTGGTTGTGTATTTTTGGTGAAGTTTGCAGGATTGCTGTTAAAAAGAACCTTTTTAAAAAGCATATTTCTTGATGGAAAATATATGACAAATAAATACCGTGTAGGGAAAAAAAAAGTTTGCTTGATGTTCATTTCACTTCAAGGCAACAGTCGAACGAACAGTCGAATGAACAATTTCAGACATCAACCAATGAGATTCTGTATTATGCATGATATGTCATAATACTTCAGATTTCAGTAATCCTGAGCCTGGTGCATTGCTTCAGAATGTTTTTATAAAAGCACTGCTGGATCAGACCAATGGTCCATCTAGTCCAGCATTCTGTCTCACACAGTTCCTCTGGAGGGCCAACAACATGTCATAGAGGCCAAAACCTTCCTCTGATGTGGTCTCCTGGTTCTTGGATTCAGAGGACTAGTGCCTCTGAATGTGGAGTTTCCCTTCAGTCACCATGGCTAGTAGCCATTGATAGATTTCTCCTCCAGGAATCTATCTAATGCCTTTTTAAAACTGTTTATTTCTGTGACCATCACTGTATCCTCTGACAGCGAATTTCACATTATAGTCACTCTCTGTGTAAAGTAGTGTTTCCTTTTTTCACCCTGAACCTACTGCCTATCAGCTTCATTTGATCCCCTTGACTTCTAGTATTTTGGGAGAGGATGAAAAAACTTCTTTGTCAGTCCTCCCCGCCTTGTTAGAGACTCCTGCCATCTCCCGCGTGCGGGAGCCCATCTAATTGGGTATAGCTAGGGGGGTGCATATGAATGCCCTATATCCTATTATGCACATAGGTAGTCCACCATTGGACTAACAGTGCCTGTGTTACTGCATTTATAGCTCTGCAATAAAAGTATAACCGTTCCTGAATGTGTGTACTTCGTTGTAAGCTGTGGGTTGTGACACTGGCCTGAAATCTCCTGGATATCCTCTGAAACCTTTTTTAAAGATGGGGGTGACATTAGCTACTTCCAGTCTTCAGGAATGGAGACAGATTTTAAGGAAAGATTACATATTTTTGTCAGGAGATCCACAAGTTCACATTTGAGTTCTTTCAGAACTCTCGGATGTATGCTATTTGGGCATGGTGATTTATCAGTTTTTAAATTGTCTATCAGTCATAGGACCTCCTCTCTCATCACCTCAATCTGACTCAGGTCTTTCAACACCCCTGCAAAAATCAGCGGTTCTGGAGTGGGCAAGCACTTCTCATCTTCCACAGTGAAGACAGAGGCAAAAAATGCATTCAGCTTCTCCGCCATTTCCCTATCATCCTTCAGTACTCCATTTACCCCTTGGTCACCCAAGGGCCCCACTGCCTCCCTGGCTAGTTTCCTTCTTCTAATGTATTTTAGTGCTTAGTAGATGTCTCTTTGTATGGACTATTAGCTCAAACTGTGTAATCTGCTTTGTGTCTCAGTGAGAAAGCTGGATAAAGGGGAACGGTGGCACAGTGGGTATTTCCCACTGTCTTACCATCCGAACTGTGTTAGTTCGAGCCCCACGCTGGTGTGAGCAGCCAGCCTGTTGTCCCCAGCTCATCGTCCACCCAGCGATTTGAAAGCTTCGGTGAGTAGATAAAATGGGAACCACTCCTTAGAGAGGGTGGGCACACCAATCTCCCTTGTGGGAGGGTGTTAGCTGACGGTCGGGACGTCCTAGTCAATGTTCGGAAAAAAGCGGAAGAACTTCTCGGCTACAAAAATCCCTGCAATGGATATTTCTGGCCAGGCGGTGGCAGTGTGGTGATTTGACATACGGGTCCTGAAGCCTGGTCGACAAGCAGCCATTCGGAAAATGACTGAGCAAATCCAGAAGACGTTTACACCGTGCAGTGACAGCGTGTGCAATTAAATGAATATATGTTGTCTTCCCTATCCCCTATGAACATAGTTAGTCCCCTGTCTAAAATGTGTAACTGTACATTGCTTTGAGCCCACTGGGGAAAGTGATTAATAAATTGAAAATATCATCATCATCATCATCATCATCATCATCATCATCATCATCATCATCATCATCATCATCATCATCATCATCATCATCATTATGAGAAATTTAGTAAGTCAAGAAAATAACTAATTAAATGAATAGATAGAATGCCACCCTCTTCAGGTGGCTGCTCCCTTTTTTTTTAAAGGCATAGCAGAATAGAAACAGGTAAACAAATCACATTTATGGGTGTGTGTTTTTTTTAATTTTTATTGTCACCATATATTCCTTTTTGACTTATTCTCTTATATAACTGTATGAGGAGGAAGGTGGTTGCCTCTGAAGACAATAAGAATGCCCATAAGGTGACTTTTTCCTATGAACCTTGTGAGCTTTAGAAGACTCCACCTTGCAACTGGAGAAAAGCTGGCTCAGCTTGCCAAACCTTCTAACCCTTCGAGGAAGGCAAGCAGTTTGAGCTCCAGCGGTGACGGGTCCACACGAAGCACTCAACACAGGTCCTGGGACGATGACCTTGCTGGGGGGCGGTTGTACGATCACCTGTGAATCTGGAAGCTTCGTGCAACATGACATTTGATGGACATTCGGCCCAAAGCAAGCCATTGTGGTGGAATGATCAGAAAGTTCGACAGCAAGAAGTGTGCAGAGTCATAAAGTTGCTCGTGGTTCTCTTCACCTATAGGAACAAAAGAGCAGCTCTATGGGATTAGACCAAGGAAAGATCCATTTTCTCCATCATCATAAGAACATAAGAGAAGCCAATGTTGGATCAGGCCAGTGGCCCATCCAGTCCAACACACTGCCACACAGTGGCCAAAAATACCAGGTGCCATCAGGAGGTCCAGCAGTGGGGCCAGGACACTAGAAGCTCTCCCACTGTTCCCCCCTCCAAGCACCAAGAATACAGAGTATCACTTGCCCCAGACAAAGAGTTCCTATCTATACCTTGTGGCTAATAGCCACTGATGGACTTCTGCTCTCCATATTCTTATCTAATTCCCTCTTCTTTTTTTTTGTTTAAAGTTTTTATTATTTTTTGTTAATAACATAAACTTTACATACATCAAATACTTTTTGCTTCTAAATTAATAAGAATAATTGCTAGCATTTCTAACATCTATTCCCTCCATACAGCATTCGTAAATCACCATGAGTCCGACCATTATAGCACAACTGCTACAACCTATAAATACAGCCATTTATGATAGATCTGTTTAGCAGGGAGAATATCATTCGTTACCATGTAGTCCAGCACAGGGGCCCATGTCCTAACAAATTTAGTGTAGGTTGGCGTGTTACTATTGTTTGTTCTTATCAGGGAGTCTGTAATTTTCGCCATTATAAATTGGTCCCAAATTTTTTCTTGCCATGTTGCAATCGTAGGGAGATGAGGAGACTTCCAAGCTGCTGCTATTGTTAACCTGGCTGAGGCTAATAACGTCGAGATAAGTTCCTTACTACCCCCTGTACCCAAATCTAATTCCCTCTGTACCTCTGTCTCCACCTGCTCTATCCCACGCATAATCTTGTAAACCTCAATCATGTCACCCCTCAGCCATTGTTTCTGCAAGCTTAAGAGCCCCAAGCTTTTTAACCTTTCTTCATAGGGGAAGTGTTCCAACCCTTTTATCATTCTAGTTGCCCTTTTCTGTACTTTTTCCAATGCTATAATATCCTTTCTGAGGTGTTGTTATCAGAACTGTACACAGTACTCCAAATGAGGTCGCACCATTGATTTATACAGGGGCATTATGATACTGGCTGATTTGTTCTCAATTCCTTTCCTAATAATTCCCAGAATAGCATTGGCCTTTTTTATTGCAGTCGCACACTGTCTCAACATTTTCAGTGAGTTCTCTACTACAACTCCAAGATCTCTCTCTTGGTCAGTCTGAGATATTGCAATAGCAGGGGACTTTGGGTGGTGCTACTGGAGGGGGTGGGGATATCCCCAATGTGATGATGTCACAGAAAAGTGATGTCATCACACTGGGGACCAGCACCCCCTGCTTCTTGCCAAAAGCACTGAGAGGGTATACATGGTATTTCTAAAGATCTTGCACCTCTATTAAAATGATTATGTATTTATGAGGTAAACTGAAGTTGCAGAAAACAGTGATGTTCCTGGGGTATACATGGTATTTCTAAAGATCTCTATTAAAATGATTATGTATTTATGAGGTAAACTGTAGTTGCAGAAAGCAGTGATGTTCCTGGGAGATAGCTAATACATGGAATTCACTGTGGCAGGAGGTAGTGGCGGCTACAAGCATAGACAACTTCAAGAGGGGATTGAATCAACATATGGAGCAGAGGTCCATCTGTGGCTATTAGACACAAGGTGTAGAGGGAACCTTATGTCTGGGCCAGTGATGCTCTGTCTTCTTGGTGCTTGGTGGGAGGGCTTCTGGAGTTCTGGCCCTGCTGGTAGACCTCCTGATGGCACCTGGGTTCTGGCCACTGTGTGACACAGAGTGTTGAACTAGATGGGCCATTGGACTGATCCAACATGGCTTCTGTTATGTTCTTATAGCTACGTATTTGCTTAAGGTAGTCACTTTTGAAGGGCATACATGATGAAACAGAGCACACTTGTTATACATTTCAAGAAGAAACCAGAAAGGGGCCATGATTCAACAATCTCTACAGAGGAAGATATGGAAGAGGAACTGGATGGGCAAGTCTATCTTGGATAATTTTTCAAGAGGGAATTAGATAAACATACGGAACAGAGGTCCATCAGTGGCTATTAGCCACAAAGTATAGATAGGGACTCTCAGCCTGGGACAAATGATGCTCTGTATTCTTGGTGCTTAGGGGGGGCAACAGTGGGAGGACTTCTAGTGTCCTGGCCCCACTGGTTGACCTCCTGATGGCACCTGGTATTTTTGGCCACCGTGTGACAGAGTGTTGGACTGGATGGGCCATTGTCCTGATCCAACATTGGCTTCTCTTATGTTCTTATGTATAAAGAGAAGGTGGAAGATCCTATCTGAATATGAATTCCTATAACAAGATAGATTCCCAAAGCTTTCTCTACATCTAGGTAACTTGGATTAGGCAGTCAGGAGATCCCTGGGGTTCTCAACAACAGAAATTATATTTAAAGAGAGAGAAATGGTTGAATTTCCAGAGGGAATAAACCAGTGTGCATTACTAGACTCTATCCTCAGCAAGGCCATAGACACAGCTAACAAATTAAAACATACCTTGAAAATCACATTTGGAAACCATTAAGACCAACCCTCCCCCAAAAGCTAAGATCATTAAAACACTTATAACCAGAACTAAAATACAAAGACAGAAGAACAGCAATTAAAACATTGGCGAGGAAGGGTGGGTCACTGAGGGAATGCCAAATGAAACAAAAAAAATGTCTTAATCCACTGGCAGAAGATGTCAACAGAAGGGGACAGACGAATCCCCCTTGGTGAGATTAATTTATGCAGTTATGTATGTATGTATGTAAAATATTTATATAGCTACTTTTCTCCTGGTTTTGGGCAACAGTAGTACAGAAACAATATTCATGTGGCACCATTATAAGCGAGACGGGGCAGTTCTGTAAAGCAGCCTGAGTTGTCTTAGGCCTCTCTGCTTGGTTCTCTCCCAGAAGGCTTTGCAGGAGGCTCTTCAGCCTGACCACGTGGCCTGCACTCTGCTCTAAAAGAACCGGTTACATTTCTGAGTTCCAGCCTCGAAGCCAAAACATCTAGATGTGAGGAACAGTGGCTCAAAGCTCCTGCCTTGACAGGGAGGGCGTCTTTGACCTAGTAATACAATGACTCTGGTCAGGGTCTTCTGGTCAAAAAAGGGAGGGGCCTGGGTATTGTCAGGACCATCCGATTTCTGGATTGACAGCTAATCTGGATTCTAAAGGTATTTAACACCAGTGTTAAAATGCTAAGGGCCCTCTTAGATAGGCATATGGAGCAGAGGTCCATCAGTGGCTATTAGCCACAATGTATAGATAGGGGCTCTGGGACAAGTGATGCTCTGTCTTCTTGGTGCTTGGGGGAGGGGGCAACAGTGGGAGGGCATCTAGTGTCCTGGCCCCACTGGTGGACCTCCTGATGGCACATGGGATTTTTGGTCACTGTGTGACAGAGTGTTGGACCGGATGGGTCATGGGCCTGATCCAACATTGGTGTCTCTTATGTTTTTATGTTCTTATGTTATGTTCTCTGCCAACACCCTGGTTAGGTCTTGCCAGAGCGGCTGGAATGCATTCCTAAATATAGAACAATTCCTAAGGGAATAATAAGTGCACTGTTTGTTTTTAAGTACTGGTTTGTCTGTTCCCGTCTGTAAAATGAATACTGAAATTGCTGCTTCCCTTGCTCGAAAGCCAGTTGAATCCGACTCTAGGGTTGCGTTGCTCATCTCCGTTTCAAAGCCGAAGAGCCAGCGCTGTCCAAAGACATTTCCATGGTCACGTGGCTGGCATGACTAAACACCAAGGTGCACGGAACGCTGTTACCTTCCCACTGAAGTGGTACCTATTTATCTACTTGCAATTTCTTGCTTTCGAACTGCTAGGTTGGCAGGAGCTGGAACTAGAGACGGGAGCTCACTCTGTCATGCGGCACCCGGGTCTCGAACTACTGAACTACAGACCTTCCACAGCCTGCAGTTCAGCGTCTTAACCACTTGAGCCACCGCAGAAAAGTGGTGAAGTATGTTTTTCCCAATAAATCACATATACTTTGGAACAGGTTTTTTTCCTCTCTCTCTCTCTCTCTCTCTCTCTCTCTCTCTCTCTCTCTCTCTCTCTCTCAAACTATGGGATTCCTGCCACTTTAAAAAAAACAACAACAACCTTCCTTGTCAAGCCAGGTGGGGAAGGGATGCCTAGGAAAAGCTCCTGGACACTTAATTCCCTCAACAATAAAATAATTAGATTAAAAGAAGAAGAAGAAGAAGATAAGAGATTGGATTTATACCCCACCCTTCACTACCCAAGGGAGCCTCAGAGCGACTTACAAACTCCTTTCCACTCCCCTCCCCACAACAGACACCCTGTGAGGTAGGTGAGGCTGAGAGAAACGGCTCTTTTTCAAGAACAGCTGTGCCAGAACTATGGCTTGCCCAAGGTCATCCAGCAGCTGCAAGTGGAGGAGTGGGGAATCAAACCCGGTTCTCCCAGATTAGAGTCCGTACACTTCACCAATACACCAAACTGGCCACAAACTGCCACAAGCAAACAGTAGAATAACATAATATAAAGTATTAAAATGCCCCTCCAAAAACACTGGCTGATTTCGCACTAGAGTTGCCTCGATGTTGCACCACCGTTTGCCCCAATACTATTGGTCAATTTCACACCCGAAGCTGCGAGGCTGCATTTTGACTCGCGGCTTCGCTCGATTTCCCCCGCAGTTTCGTGATCCTGTTTTTTGAGGATCACGAAACTGCGGAGGAAATAGGGCGAAGCCACAGGTCCAATGCAGCCCCGCGGCTTCGGGTGTGAAATTGACCAATAGTATCGGGGCAAATGGCGGCACAACATCGAGGCAGCTCTAGTGCGAAATCAGCCACTGTGTGCTCAATACCAGTCTGCTTTCCCTTTTCTGGCTACACCCAAACCTCCAACACTGCTTTACAATCTTATAAGAAATCCAGGAGTGTAGAACTCCATGTCATACATGAAATATTGCAAAAAATCTTTAAAAGTAATATATGTTTCGTACCAGAACTCTTTTTATTGAATATACTTTCGGAAAATTGTAAAAAAAAAAAAACCCAACAAGACTCTTATCTTATCTTGCATGTAGTTACAACTGCTAGAATATTGTATGCTAAATATTGGAGAAGAAAGGAGATTCCTTCCAAAGAAGAAATAATAAAGTACTAGAAACTGCTGAAATTGACAAATTAACTTTAATTTTGAAAGGCTATAAAGAGGAAAACTTTGAGGAATCATGGTCAAGACTTTACAATTGGATTGAGGAATATAACAGATGAAACCTATGCATAACCGAAACAGAGGACAACGAGAATATTTAAGATAAAATGTGCAAAGCTATGCTTAGTGATATCTGTTGTAGAAATAGTATTATTGAGAGATGTATGGATAACATAATCGATCATTCAAAAAGATGGAGAGATTCTCCCATTTAATGTTTGTTTTGTTTGTTTTTTTATGTCTGTTGTTACAAAAATTAAAATTTACTATTAAAAAAAAATAGAACTCCATGTCCTCTCCTGGAACACTATCGCAACAGCTGGGAGCAGCTATTGAAAAAGCCAGAGCCAGACCATTACAGGACAGGCCTCCGACACAGGAGGCTGTGACAATAAACTTTGCTAGGAAGAGTTAAGCTGCTACATTTGAACAGGGAGGGAGAGACAGTCCTTCACACATGTGGCTCTTCAGGAGCTTTGAAGGTGAGCAACATCACCTTGAACTGGACCCAGGAACAAATAAACAGACCTTGGAGGGAACTCAGAAGAATGGTACTGTTGTCTCACTGGGCTGGCTATAATAACAAACCGACTACCACACTTTGCACCAGCTGGATAGTCTTCAAGGGGGGCCCCATGTAAGGCATTTTACAGCACAAGACAGCCCAGAAATACAAATATCAGTGCAATCCTAAACTGAATTACACCAATCTAAGCCCATTGACTTCAACTGATTTAGAATGGGTGTAACCATTTAGGATGGTAATGGATATATCCCATCTCTCCAATGGCAGCCTTAGAATCAACACTGACCCTTCTAATGTCGAGCCAAAACGTCTTACCCGGTGACTGAAGAGATGCTGAGAGTTGGAAGTCCAGCCTAAGGATAGCCTAAGATGCTCAAGTGTGTTTATATACTTGCTGTGTGAGCCTTAACTGTAATAATACCCCAAACAAAACTGTTTGCTAACATAACTCCCAAATTGGCCTTTACATTTTTTGGACGTTATTGTATCATCCAAAGGAAATGACGGCATCTACCAAACGTATATAATTTCAAAATGAAATAATCCTTGGCGAACAATTGTAAAATTCAAATCTCTGAAGCCCCAAGCTACATCCTGAAGGAACAGGATGTAGCAGAGGTGGCAGTCTTGCTAAAGATAAGCTGGCCAAGCTCGGGCTCATATGACTATATACCGGCATTGTTATAATTTCATCGACCAGACAGGCAGCTATGAGAATGATTAAGAAACATATATTTAAGTAAGATTATAACAGTACAATCTGTACAGCACGGCATGTTTGCTCTACTCGGTTTACTGGTGTTCCTCTATCTGGTGAGCTTCCTGATTACTGTTCATATTGAACTGTTTCTTGGTATGGTAGAAAGAGCAAGAGTCCAGTAGCACCTTAAAGGTTCCCTTGCTCGAAAGCCAGTCGAGTCCGATTCTAGGGTTGCGGTGCTCATCTCCGTTTCAAAGCCGAAGAGCCAGCGCTGTCCGAAGACATTTCCGTGGCCATGCGGCCAACATAACTAAACACCAAGGCGCACGGAACGCTGTTACCTTCCCACCGAAGTGGTACCTATTTATCTACTTGCAATTTCTTGCTTTCGAACTGCTAGGTTGGCAGGAGCTGGAACTAGAGACGGGAGCTCACTCCGTCATGCGGCACACTCGGGTCTCGAACTGCAGAACTACCGACCTTCCACAACCTGCAGTTCAGCGTCTTAACCACTTGAGCCACCACAGCTCCACTCAGTAGCACCTTAAAGACTAACAAAAATTGTGGCAGGGGAGGAGCTTTTCTGAGTCACTGCTCGCTTCTTCGGACACAGCTAGAATGTGAGTTTACCTGCCAGGACCACAGCCATACAGCCCAGAAAATCTACAACAACTAATGAACTCCGGTCGTGAAAGCCTGTCAGCTATGCTGCCATGGGGGTTGGGGAGTTCATTCTGTGTCTTGTTAAGTGCTATTGCATTCCTATCCCTGCTGTTATGCCTTTGCTGAAATGCTTATCTTTGCAGATGTGCAGGAGGAGGTTGTGTTGTCTGGAGAGCTCCTATGTACCGTGAAAGACTCCGAGTTCTCAGATTTAGCCACCTAACGGTTTCCTGACTTAGCCTGTGCGCGGGAGGGCGCCTAATTGGCCAATGTCATGGGGGGGGTGCGCATATGAATACCCTATATCCTATTATGCTCTACTGGCTGGAGCCATTCTTAACAGTGCCTGTGTTACTGCATCTATAGCTTTGCAATAAAAGTATAACCGTTCCTGAATGTGTGTACTTTGTTGTTAGCTGTGGGTTCTGACAAAGCCCCCGACAACATATTGAGTCTATCTGTCCTTATCTTTTGCAGAGTGGAGCGATTTCAGATGCTGAATGACAATAATAGGCAAATGACGATAGCAAGTGAATGACAACAGCAGGCACAATTGGATTAGATGTGAAATGCAGAGGAGCAGTGGATGTGGAGAAATCGGCATTGGTGACGAGACAGGAAACCTAGGTCTCGATGAGGTCCAGGAGGATGCATTGTCTTGAGCTTCATGATCAGTTGCAATTCAGAAGTGTGTCTTTCTAATCTCCCTTTGAAATTCCTTTGTAAGAGAACTGCTACTCTTAGGTCAGCAACTGAATGTTCTGGAAGGTTAAAATATTCCCCCAACTGGTTTTTGAATGTGGTGGTTTCTAACATCAGACTTCTGTCCACTTATTCTTTGTCATACTGACTGACCTGTTTGTCAGTCCCTGTGTAGATGGTAGAAAGGCACTGCTGACACATGATGGCACAAATCACATTAGAGGGTGAGCAGGAGTATGAAACTGAGAAGGTACAGCTGATGTTGCTGGGTCCAGTTATAAGTAAAAGTTCCCTTGCTCGAAAGCCAGTCGAGTCCGACTCTAGGGTTGCAGTGCTCATCTCCGTTTCAAAGCCAAAGAGCCAGCGCTGTCCGAAGACGTTTCCGTGGTCATGTGGCCGGCATGACTAGATGCCAAGGCACACGAAACGCTGTTACTTTCCCATCGAAGCGGTACCTATTTATCTACTTGCAATTTCTTGCTTTCAAACTGCTAGGTTGGCAGGAGCTGGAACTAGAGACGGGAGCTCACGCCGTCATGTGGTGCACCCGGGTCTCGAACTGCTGAACTACCAACCTTCCACAGCCTGCAGTTCAGCGTCTTAACCACTTGAGCCACCGCAGCTCTTATATATATATAAATTCATGGTGAGACATGCCCTTCATAAATTTCAGTAGACTTCTCCAGGAATTTACTAACAGCCCTTGTGATTTCTATTTCATTATCTTTTAATAATGTCACTATCCAGCATGGTCATTATAAACCGGCTTGAGTTGTGAGCTGTAGATGACCACCACTGGTGTCCTGTCCTGTTGTCATTTTCTTTAGGCTTGTCTTGTAGCAAGCTGTCCCTGGGTATCATTCTGGCCCTTCCAATCATAGATCTATCTCGGGATAGCCATGCCTTTAAGTTGATGCCCTTCAATGCCTTACCATCTAGAGTTTTGCAATGGAGGTATTTGAAGATACCATACTCTAATACAGCATGTAACTGCATTGCAGGTAGCGTAGATGGTTTGCATCATGTGACCTTCGAGTGTAATTACTTTTCTGAGTCTAGAAATCTTTCCATTCTTCTTTTGCTGCAAGATATAGATAATATGGCAATGTTACCTCTCTTGTTAGAAGGTAGTCGCAGACTTATCACTCTTTCAGCTGCAAAATTTTATGCATTTGTGATAGATTTTTTTGCGGCCATTCAGATGTGGACTAGCCTTTTATATTTATATTATACAATCTGGTTAGAACTAATACATTAAGAAAGGGTAAGAGGTAAATGCTGGCCTAGATGAATCACAAGCGGGAATTAAGATTGCTGGGGAAAAGATTAACAACCTCAGATATGCAGACGATACCACTCTGATGGCAGAAAGTGAAGAGGACCTAAAAAGCCTCTTGCTCAGAGTAAAAGAGGAGAACGCAAAAGTGGGCTTGAAGCTCAACATCAACTAAGATCATGGCATCCGGCCCCATCACTCCTTGGCAAATAGAAGGGGAAGTCGTGGAAGTAGTGACAGACTTCACGTTCCTGGGATCCCAGATCACCGCAGACTGTGACAGCAGCCATGAAATTAAAAGATTTCCTTGGGAGGAAAGTGATGGCGAACCTAAACAGCATGATAAAAAGTAGAGACATCACCCTGCCAACAAAAGTCCGCATGGTCAAAGCAATGGTATTCCCAGTAGTCATGTATGGCTGTGAGAGTTGGACTATAAGGAAGGCCGAGCGCCGAAGAATAGATTCTTTTGAACTATGGTGCTGGAGGAGACTCTTGAGAGTCCCTTGGACTGCAAGAAGAACAAATCAGTCAATCCTCAAAGAAATCAACCCTGACTGTTCCCTGGAAGGCCAGATAATGAAACTGAAGCTCAAATACTTTGGCCACCAAATGAGAAGGGAGCACTCACTGGAGAAGACCCTGATGCTGGGAAAGATTGAAGGTCAAAGACGACGGGGACGGCAAAGGATGAGATGGATAGACAGTGTCATAGATGCAACGAACATGAAGTTGAGCAAACTTCAGAGGACGGCGGAAGACCGGAAGGCCTGGCGGGAGCTGGTCCATGGGGTCTCGAAGAGTCGGACTCGACTGTGCGATTGAACAACAACAAGAAGAAGAGGTAGAGAGGTAGGTGTGGTTTATTTTCTCTTTACAAAACCTTGAATGGATTTCATCAAATTCATTATTGACATTATCAGTATGCGTTAGGGATGCTTCAGCACCCACGGCTTCAAAGTTTGAAACGGAGATCCAGAATTCTGGGTGCTGCAAAGCCAACCACTTTCCTCTTAGACGCATGTCCTTTGTGGCTGGTGCCACAATCCGTCCCTTAGTTCAGGGGTCTATCCAGATTATCAATCCGTCCCTTAGTTCAGGGGTCTATCCAGATGGTTCAAAAGAGGCAATGGTAGAACTGCTCTGGAAGAAGCCATCACTGGGTCCTTCTGATTCATCCAATTATCACCCGGTTTCGAATCTCTCGTTCCTGGGTAAGGTCATTGAGACAGCAGCAGCGGAGCAGCTCAGAGCTTCCTGGAGGACACATTCGCACTAGATGGCTTCCGGTCTGGCTTCTGCCCTGGTAATGGGATGGAGACGTTGCTGGTCGCCTTCATGGACGATCTTTGCAGGCAGTTGGATTGAGGTGGGTCGGCACTGCTGTGAGTGCAGTCGCTCACGGTCTGCTGGCCCACCGGCTCACTGATGTTCGAGTATGTGGGACAGCCCTGAAGTGGGTTGTCTCATGTTTGGGGACAGAGGGTTCTGCTGGGAGAGTGTCTCTCCGCAATACCCCCATGGTATGCGGGGTCCCTCAGGGGGCTATCCTCTCCTGTGTGAACCGGGAACTACTCTCTCGGTTCTTCTGCTAAAGTCTGGTAGGGCTCGAGGTCTCAAGCTGGCAAAGAGTGACCTGTTTCTCTCTATCAACATTCCAAGCACTTTACGCTTAAAAGCTCACCTCTCCAGTCTCCGGTTCGCCTCTGGACAAAGGGAGGGAGCCACCCACTAAAAACGCTGCTCCACAGTTCAAGTCTTGAAAGATCTCAACAGAATTTATTGAAGATGATTACAAAAGAAGTTACTACTCACTGCACCCTAGCAGTGAGTATCAAACGCACCGACATTCACAGAGTTCCCTGCTCCCTGGCCCCCGTGGCCTGGAAAGTAAGGTAAGGTGTCTGCAGAAAGACATTGGATATTAAACTGTCTGCCCCCCACCACTCAAGGCCTGGCAGCTAATTATTATTTGCAGCTGTGGAGATCTTAAAGAAAAAGGCAGAAACTCCAAGGTCTTCTGCTAAGACAGTTCAC